CTTTTATTGATATTTTTGCAATTTCTTGAGATCTTGGAATGAATCTTCATACTACTAGACATTCTTAGGCTACCCTAAGAGACGTGTTGGAATGAAGCTACACTATCTTTTTTATGTTTAGCTGAGGCCTACCTTCGTAACTAGGGTCATGAAGTTGCTACTTGATTAATAGTTGAACATGTTTGATAAACTTGGGGCTTATATTATGCAAAACCTTGAAGTACAAGGACAAAAATGACAAATTTATGTTGTGTTGTTCTGATCTACTGACCACTAAAATGAACCAAGGGGTCTGGATTTTGACTCTACTCTAATGATTTTTTACTTTTTTCCGTTGGTATGTTCTATATTAATTGTCAAGTTTTACTTTTCGAGAGTCTAATTGATTATTTTTTAGTGTTGAATTGCATAAATTAATTCTATATCTTAAAACCACAATTTACATATCTAAAATTATATGAAAAGTACTATCAATTATAATATGATAAAAAAAATTAATTATTAATTAAAGTTCATATAGTTTAATCTTTGAAAAATAAAACATAACAAGTATTTTGAGATTGAACAAGTAGCACTTAAAAAGACTGCCCACGCATACAAAAATTCAATCCCACAATGATTGAAAAAATAATTTTCAGTGCCCCACTGTTTTGAAAAATACACTAGTGACAAAAATAGAGGGGTAGAATGTTGAACCAGAGGCCACTTGCAAGAGAGCCCATACCATATACTATTAGGTTTCTAGAGGATTTTACTTGGTTTGCTTTGCCTCTGTGGGTATTTGAAGAGCCAGACTTTACCTCTAGTATTTTTAAATGACGGCTTGGGATATATTATTACTTCTTTTTCTTTCTTATCCCTTTCTAATCTAAAACTAAATTTTATTTATTGGGGACAGTGGTATATGACTATAACTACAGTACTAACGGGCAAAAACGTTGCCAAGTTATTTAAGTGGAAAATATCTTGACTTAGAAAAAAAATTAGTTTAGTAACCAAAAAGTCATTAAGCTAGATCAAAAGTAATGAGAAGCAGGATTAATTCCTGAACATATTACTCTTGTCAGTGACTTTCTTTGTCTTCTACTTGTGCCTGACAAAGATTTAGAGTAGCTAGGTATAGCCTCGACTATCATCAAATAGGAAACAAGAAAAATTAGATCAACCCTAATTAGACTAACTAAGGTTGTGGTGGAACAGTGACTACTCTTTCATTCTTAATCAAAATCTTGGTTTCGACTCCACTTTCCCAGAATGAATTCAAATTTAGTTGGCTCGAATGTAGAACTTGGTCCAAACATCAAAGACAGATAATTTGTTTTCCCTTACTATATTGAAACACAAGTTAGACGAGTAAAGTTGTAATACTCTCCATAATTATTCTTATATAAACGTTGAATGAGTTGTGTCATGACTCACTTTTCGGATCAGTTTATTTTGATGGATTCAAAATTGACCCAAATTCATGCATTATCTCAATAAAGAAGCAGTCGTATCTGAGAAGAAATAAACTTCAGCAAACATGTTGGTTGATGTTAAGAAAAACGTTTAAAGCAAAATAAAGTAGCCAGAAAGTGTTTTTCTTCAATAAAGCTCTCGTATACTGTAATTTGAAAAACATTTTGCTTTTTCGACTCTCTTTTCTTTTTAAAATACTTTTCTTTTTCTTCTTATCTTTGCTTCTTCTTCTTTCTTTCTTTTTTCCCACCCTTTTGGCAATATCCGAATCACATACTAATATAGTAAATGATACAGAAGTTTAACCAACAATTCGGCATATATTAGATTATTATCCGTATGATTATATATTTCCGTGTAAAGCTACTCTATAATATTAATCTCTTTTATTACAATTCATTTTATACATTGATTAATAAATTAATTTGCATCAGAGAGCGGTTTTAATATTTGAATTCACAAAAAAGACGGATGATTTCGGCTTCCAAAATGGTCTCTCAAGAGTCAAGATGTTGAGAAATCCACCCAAAATATGAAAACATAAATAAATCGCAAAACAGTACCGAAATTATCACCGGGAGAGCATATAAATAACTTACGAGAACAAAATATCTAATTAAATTCTCGGATAAATTAGATTGGCATAATATGTCTTTTAACTTGACATTATTTCATAAATATGCCCTCCAACTTTGGGTGTGTTATAAAATTGAACAAGTAGACACACAAGTCCTATGTGACATAATACACGTAAGACACCATGTTGGACATGACTTTATACAAGTTTAATTGTCTACTTGCTCACACACAAAGTTGGAGAACATAAATATAAAATGACTCCAAGTTAAACGGGCATATTATGTATTATGCCAATTAGATTTGACAGAAAACAAGTATGGCTACTTTAGGTACTTCAACTTTTGATTAGGTTAACTCAAAATGTATTTGATCAAGGGAAGGAAGGAATCAGTAACGTACAGCCTGAAAATTGCAAATTTACATCCAAAAGTTCATTCACCAGAGTCACCCAGCAACCACAATCTGAATAGCTTGGCCAAAAAAGAACTTGGGTGTTGAATGCAGCTAACCGTAATTTAGCTTACCTTTTATGAAAATGAAATAAAAAATGTTCTAATGTTGGTCATTGGTCCAGTAAGATGCGAGTAACACTATTACGTTCATCAATATGAGACTCCTTTCGTCAAGGTTAGGCAATGGTCAAGTAAGATTACAAATGCAGGTCTTCTAAAATTGAATTTAGAAAAGGCACTTGATCATATGGGGCTTCCTCCTAAACCAAAGAAGAGATGGCCTTTGAAAGAAGATGGCTTAACTGGATAAAATTTTATCAATGGAGCCACTGAGAGCTTCTTTTCTTCCCAAAAGGAAATTCAGATGAACTTGCTATTTATTTTTATGATGTTGGACCACTAAAGATCTGATTTTTCTTGGATTGGGGCAAAGGAGGCCTGCCTCACTAAAGATAACCTTCATAAAAGAGGGTTACCCTTATGAACAGATGTTATTTATGAGGAGGCCAAACGGAAACCACTAATACTACTCATCTTTTTTTTTTTTTTGGCACCCCATAACTGACTATGGCAGCCATTTCTCAACTTTGCCGGAATCAAATGGTCAATGTCCAGGAATATACATAAACTCTTTGGAGTCATTGGTATAGATAAGGTTGGACAAAGTAAGAAATAGCTGGTGGCATATGATTCCAGCTTGTATCTGGTTGGTGTTTTGCAGATAAAGGAACTCCTCTTCTTTTTTCCCCACCCCACCCCACTAGGAGGGGATCAATAGTGTTCCCACTTACCCTCCACTGACTTGAATCCTCAGCCTAACGGTTGATGGTGAAGGTACTCAACCATTTGAACAACCCTCACTTACCCAGATAAAGGAACTTGATATTTTGAAGGCAAACAAAAACCAGTACAGAGGATTAAGTTACATTATATCTTTTATTATTTCGCTTTCAATTCTTGTATAAAAAGGAATATGCAAATGAGGCATAAACTTCATTAGATTTCACATAGCCCCTCTAAAGATTAGAAGAGCGCTATACTTTTGATTCTTCGCTCACTTGATCAGAAAATTACAGCACCTTTGTGTCGTTTACTAATACAATTATTACCATTTTATTTAAAAGGACGGAGGACTTCAAAGTAAGACACAATAGTGAACTACCAAGTTAGCACATCCCACATTTTTATGGTCAATTTCCTTCTAGATCTCTTCCTATACCTTAAAAAATGTTTGAGAAAAGAAACTATTTGATTGGAGAAGGTGGTACTTGTCCATAGGTGGATAAGCTGATCTGATTATCATTCCCAAGACACCTAATCACCTGCCTTTTAATTATTTCGAAAAAATAACTAAGTATGCTGTCAAACAAGACCAATCTACCTCCCATCGATAAGTACTGCCTTCTCAATTTGTCCAACTTCTTCATAATCACAGCTATGATTTAGGGTAGATACATAATGCAGGCGACTACGATTGGAAATTGAGACAAAGTAGGTGAAGAGTAGAAAGAAATCACACAAACTGAAAGTAACATCTCATGGGAAGTAAAGAGTGAGCAACATAACCTCTACCAAGTTATATGGGAGAAGGTAACTCTGGAAACTGTGAAAATTAGAGTGAAATATACCTAAAAGAACCCCTTATGTTGGATTTGTTATGAGAAAAGCCAAAATCAAGAAGTTTAGAAGACAATGATTACTGCAAAATAAGGTAGGCTTAATCTCTGGGTAGAAAGATTTCACGAACTGTGTTCTTGACAGCATACTTAACTACTTTTTTATATTAATCGAAAAAGAAATGGACAAACATCCACCTACTTTGTGTCTCAACTCCCAGTAGTAGATGTGGTTGTGAAGTTGTAAAAACTAAGAACGACTCTCCTATTTCAAGAAAAGAGCGAGCAGAACAATTTCCACCGGGTCAGATAGGAAAAGAACTTCCAGGCAACTGCTGAGGCAGGTTTCTCCCATGGTAAAAACACTTGTATTTCCTTTATTTCCGACCTAGAGGTTTGGCAGTTCTAGTCGCCCAGGAGGATGTGAGAAAGAAGCACCCTGTGTCCTTGAAAATATATATCAGGAGCTTCTTGTTCAAATGATAATGGACATGTACCTAAGATCATGAGATGATTTTTCCTTTTCATTCTAAAAGTTAAGGAGGTTGCAATAGCTCAACACCAAACACATCATGACACAATAAAAAATTGAGAAACTGTTATAATTGGAAATTTGATACCCTATCATCTTAGTTATTGATAATTTGATATTGTATAAGTGGTACAAGAGACAACATATGAGTGTCACTCTTTGAGATGGGGGTAAGTAAATGTGGATCTTCCTTCATCAAGCAATGCTACAGCCTACAATGCATTAAAAATAGCTAAGAGTACCAGCATAAACTGGTCCGGGAAGATCTGAATAAACAAAGTATCATTTAAGGTGGTTCGCTTCAGCTGGACTGCTATTCATGATATTTGTTTGGCTTGGTTTTATCTCCAGATAAGGGGTATGGTTATGTTTAACAGCTGCTAATGTGTGCCAGAGAGTTGGAAGATGCTAATCATTTATTTAGTTGTGTGTCTCTTGACACAGTTATCGAATATGCTCCTTTATATACACAAAGTTGATGATGCCCCATGCCTCTAAAGGGAACTTATTTCAGCTGGTAAGGAAGGATACTGGCAAGCAGCACCAAAAGGGTTGGACCATGATTCCAGCTTGCATTTTTATGAATTGTTCGGAAAGAGAGAAACAACAAATGCTTCAACCCAAGGTTTTAACAGTAATATATAAAATAGAAATGCTTATATCTGTTAGCTTAAATTGAAATATATACACAATATAGACAATTAATTTGTACTCTTTAGCTCCTTACAGGAAGTATAGGGAGCTGGTGTATTTTGTATCCACTTTGTAGAGGTAGCACCCTCTTGGTGCTAATTTAGCCAATGTGATGAAATTCTTTTACTTGTCAAAAGAAAGCAGAAACTAAATGGCTCTAGAAGTTTTGATAAGAAAGTAGATATATATGATAAACACATGTGAAGACAACATGCTGCAAGTTACAAATCCAGAGATTTGATAATTATGTGAATATTGCATCACTATATGATGCAAAATCTTTAGTACAACTAGATATATTAGAAATATTAGAACACACTAAGGTCAAGATTCTGAAAAGCTTCCCCACCATATTACCAAGATAATGATTCAGCAACCAATATTTTCAAGCTGGAGAAGAAAAAAATCTCATAATTCTATGGTGTACACTTTCACCATCTCATTGAGAAAACAAAACCAACTCTAAATTTCCAAATAGTACTAAACTACTAACCTTTGAATATACAGAGATTTAGAGTTTTCATCATTTTTCAGTGGTAATCCAACTAGTTGTCTATGTGATACTCACAGAATAAAATTGGCAACTTTACATATATAGTACCAAAACTAAAAAGGTAAGGAAGAAAAAGGAAAATGATATGAAAAGATTTTCAACATGCTCAGCTAAAATGAGATTTGTACTACGTCCAGGAAATCTGTCAACAGAACAGAATTTGCAATGTTAGAGCACAGGTTCAAAATTGTATCTAACCTGAAAATCATTAACATGTCCTGGACCAGCACTCCTTCCATTTTCCCTCTCATAATCAGCATCATCCGTGGGCAACTCGTGGCGACAAACAGGACATGTATTACGGATATTTAGCCATGGCACAATACAATCACAATGGTAATAGTGAGAACAAGGCAACCTAGTCACTTTCTCCGTTGACAAAATCTCATCTTTGCAAACTGCACAAGCTGCATTGCTTCCTTTCAAATTTTCATCACTCACGACCAGCAAAGGAAGATTTTCCAGTACAGATTTAGCTGCTGGTGGACTACCCTTTAACCTCTCTTGGCTTCCAACAAAATCAAAAGTACCAAACCCACCGTCATCTTGAAGTATAACAGCATTGTGAAATTCAAGGCTCCTTTCGAGATCATTAACCGCCACCAGAAATTCCCATTCTAAATTCCTCACTTGCCCCTCTTCTCCGTCTTCACCCAAACCCAAATTTCCTTCTTCGGAAGAGAAATCAGAAGAAACAGAAATTTCTTCCATTCGTCCAATCAGATAACTCAGATTGTCCCCCCTCCCTTCAACCCTCTCAACTTCTTCCCACTCTGAATCTTCATCCAAAACCCCCTCATCACCAACCCGAAAACAGCTCCACAAATCCGGCACTCTCGAATCACCAATTTGGTGAATAACCCCCGAAATTACCTCCACATCTTCTGAATCGGACTCGGAGTCTACCCCAACGACCCGAAGTCCATCAAATTCAAACTCAAGCTCTACTTCTTCACCGTCTGTCAAAACCCTAACATTGGAATTGCTGTGAACAACACGGGGATGATCCGTAACGTAGTCATTTCGGGAGTCGAACAAATCGGTTACAAGGTCCACTTGGTCTTCATTGCCATAGAAGAAGGAACTAGGGTTTGCAATCAAGTCGGAGCGGTCGGACTCCGAATCAACGGATTCGGATTCGGGGCCCGAGTCAAAATCGTCAAAAGAGGGAATAAAGAAGGTAAGGTTAGAAGGAGAAAAGGAGTATGTGGGGTCCTCCTGTTCGACTTCGTTCTCGCTGAAATTGGTTGTCTGTACATGGAAACTATGTAGGCTATAATTCTCCGCCATTGAATTGGAAAACAAGTAAACAAAACAAAAGGGGAGCTCAAATTAAGTTTAAGCTCCATTGTTTTGCTCATTCATATATAAAGTATAATACATAAACATGATTTCCGCCCCTGAGTTGATAACTATGATCTTTAATTTGAATGTGCACAAGTAGTTATTTAAATTTATATAACATCGAACAAAAAGACACATCTATTTTACATGACACCCTACATGAAAATTTTGTGTCATACGTAGTGTCCTATATGTATTATGTTATGTAAAACATGTGTGTTTACTTATCCAATTTTATACCAATTTAAGTGTCTACTTGTGCATACTTAAAATTGGAGGACATAGTAGTCCGCTAAAATCAAGTTAAGAATCATGTTTATTTATTATGCCTCATATAAACAAGTCAGAAGATACAGGATATTTGCTGTCCTTTTGTAATCTTTTTACAAATTTATATTTGGATAGTTTCAAATATATATTATAAAATAATTAATATATGATAAATATAATTATATTTTTGTTTATATAAAAATAGCCAAAATTATAAGGAAAAAATGGTATGAAAAATACTTTAACTTTGGCCGAAATTGTTGTTACGATACCATACTTTATGGAGGACTTTTTACCCCTGCACTATTTAATAGTGTATTTTAAAAGTATATATGTGTCCACGTGGACACATTATAATCCTGAAATATTTATGATATCCACGTGAGCATATATATACCTTTAAAATACACTATAAAATAATGCAGGAGGTAAAAGGTTATTCCCAAAGTTCGATATCGTAACAACAATTTCGGTCAAAGTTTGAATAAATATTTCAAACTTTTTTCCCAATCAGAGATATATTGTGATCATATAATATAGTTTGTCAAAAATTATAGAAAGTACGCTATACAGTATAACTTACCTATATGTGAGTTATATATTGATTATAGGGTAAAATGACAAATATACCCCCAAACTATCGTAAATTATATGCAGATACCTTCCGTCATACTTTTTGGACATAGGTGCCCATACCGGCCAAAAATTAGAGTATATATGTCATTCACTCTAATGGAAGACTAAATAGGGACACGTGACACAATCTTATCCGTCGATTCGATATTTAATAAATGTTGAATCGGTGGATAAGATTATGACACGTGCCCATACCGTCCAAAAACTAGAGCAATATGATTTTTTTTATGTTTCGAGCCTATTGATACATAATTTTCTAAAAACTATTCATATTCATGGTATATTGAATTTTTACAAAGAAGAAGAATAGGAAAAAAAATCTAAAAGAAGAAACTAGTAGCAGAAGACGATGACAATAAAGGTGGAGAAGAATCTACCTTTTTTTAGGGATAATTGTACAGAATGACAAACTAATAATGTTAATTAAATGTACTAACTATAGTTTCAGTTATTTCCTTTAATAAGCAAAATCTCGATCACTTTGCTATTATAGGACCCCACCGATTTGTATAATTTATTAAAAAAATAAAACAGACGTTTTTTCTTTTCCCTTTCTTTTATACAATCTCTTCTCCTATTTCCTTCAAATTCTCCCAAATCTTCTCCCCAAATACAATTTCAAATTGCAAATTTCTCCAGCACGTCCTCATCTCGTTTTCAAAAGAGAAACATTACTTCAAAAATTTCAGGTAACACCAAAACTCATCTCATTCTATTGATTTTTGTTAATTTTTTTCAATTTAAATGTATATGTATATATAACTTATTTTTTTCAGTCATTTACTGTATAATCATTATTTTTTACATTTTTTGTGTTGATTCATATCTTATACTATTTGCTTATACAATTGTGGTTGTATAAATGTATAATATTAGTAGTTATTGTATAATGTTCCTTTAAACATACACATTTGCTCACACTTATACACTTATTTCTGGGTCAAGTAAAAAAAGGAAAGATAAAACTGATGTTTATACTGATCACAATGATAAAACTGAAGTTGTTGTTTGTGGGTCATTGGACTGTATAATTATGTGGGTCATTGGATTGTATAATTATGTGGGTCATTGGACTGTATAATCATTATTTTTATATTTTTTGTGTTGATTCATGTCGTCTATTGTTTGCTTATACAATTGTGGTTGTATAAATGTATAATATTAGTAGTTATTGTATAATGTTCCTTTAAACATACAACTTTGCTCACACTTATACACTTGTGTCTATTTTAATATGTGAATCAACATTGATGTTTTGTTTTCTTTAACCTTATACTCAATTTTCAGCTTAATCACATTCGTATCAACACCGAGTTGCATTGCAATAACATTATACAACTCTTTATACGATGAACTTTCTTTAAAAATCATCCCCTCAATTGTATAATCAATGTAACAATTGTCATTGTCCCATCTACCGGAATGCATAACCAAAATAGCTAATGAAGCCATTTTCAAAAATTTTGTATAAAAAAATAAGTTATATATACATATACATTTATACGATTAAGAATTTCAACAACAAACAGAACATATATTTATACAAATTCTAGCAACTTTAGTTATTCACATATATACATATTTCCATTATATACTCATATAAACGTTTATATACACATTTTGCATATACATTTATATATAAATAATTATATACACAAATTAAATTAACGCACCTTTTTATTTATTTTTTAAAACAATCAAAATGTATATAAAAAAAGACTGACTAGTGAATATACAGAAAGACACATCCGTAGCAAACTAAAATTTTGTTACAGACTGTAATTTTATAAAATTTGCTATAGCATACAATTAGCAATTTTTAATTTGCTATACTAAGATTTTCTTTTTTTTTTTAATAATTAAATTGACTGAATAATCATTTGATATAATTATCCAAAAAAATGGTCTCTATTTTATTTAGTAAGTGTTAAGGTGATATTATTCTATGGTCTATGAACATAGTGCCTTAAATTTGATCCAAGAAGAAGAAGAGATTGAAGGAAATGTACTTATGACTCTTTATGTTTTTAAATTATGAACGTTGCAATTTAAGAAATGACTGATTATTTTAAATATATAGCATCTAAACATTTAAAATGATTGTAATACTTTTGGTTGTTTATCGTTATGGTTGAAAAATCAAATCGTATCGTAAAATAAATCAGACATATTAAAATTTAATATTTGATTTGATTTTAGATTATGAAAATCAATAGATTTTATTTTAAAATAAATCAAATTGAATCGAATTACCATAAACTTTATAATTATTTATATATGAGAAAAGACATAAAGTGACGCCTGAAGTTGTTCCGAATTTTTAAAAAAACACTTTAACTATGTGGGAGTCCTATTACCCCCCCTAAACAATTTCGAACTTATATTATTACATCATTTTTCGATCAATTTCAGATTTTAAAAAGCAAGTGTTATCGCACACCAATCATTATGTGACACGTGTTAATTTAATTTGAAATATAATTTTTCTTTTCATTTTAAGTTTTTCTTTATTTCTCTCTCTTGCTTTTTGACTTATTTTAATTTTAATTTCATTTTAAATTATACTTCATCTTCCACCCTACTTTCAAGCTACCCCTCCCTCCATTTTCTTGTTTTCTTCTTCTTCTTCACCTCCACCCCCACGTCAAGTTGAGCCCCTCCATTTTCTTTATTTGCTTTTTTTTTCTTCTTCTTCTTCTTTGTTAAATTCCTTCTTTCAAAAATCATACTATTTTTTAGACTTTGTTGAGTTATTGATAACAAAACTAATTATTTTTCTAACATAAAACAAAAATTTAAAGGTATCATCAATTAATTTATCTCATTTTCATATAAATTCAAAGCTAGAAATGATAATTTTGAAAGAATCAATGAATTCTCCGAAAATTGAAAAAGTTTAATTGACTTTGGATTAAAAAAAAACTAAACAAAACCTAGTACTCATCTTCAAATCTAATGAGTTTATCAAATTGTTCGAAATGTAATAAAATATTTAGATATAATTTTAAGATTGAAGAGAGTTAAACTAATAGTAGTAAAAAAGGGAGGTGGAGTTGTGGTAAAAAGTGACATTGAAAGTGAGAAGTTTCATAATGGAGATGAAAATGAATTTTTGAAGAAGGAAGAAAGAGCAAGAAAAAAATAATGAGGAGAAAGTTAAAATAATAAGAAAAACAAGAACATATATTTTATAGCAAAATACTTGTAAAAATAAAATTATATTCATTTTTTTAATTTGTTCACGTTCTTTAAGAGAGTGTATACACTCTCCATGCCATGTGGATAAAAAATGATGTAATAATATCAATTTTGAATTGTTTAGGGGGTAATAGGATGCTTGCATAGTTTAGGTGTCTTTTAAATTTGTGATAACTTTAGATGTGACTTTATGTCTTTTCTCTTTATATATTATTCATAAATAAAATATAAAAATTCATGTTAGTGTTTTGGTACATAATTTAGTTGTACTCCTCCATGGTAGTTTGACAATTGTTGAGCTTGAGGTTTTCATTTTATTTTTTGCTATAAAAAAATAGTATTCTTTTGATCTTTGGTGTATAATGATTTTAGTATTGCCTACTTAAATTTCTTTGTTTGTGTAAAAATAATTCTAATATTGTTTAATTGATCAATTGAATCTATAATAGCTTTTATATGGATTGTTTATGTACGAGGTGTCTGTGTCTATTGAAAGATGTATGCTCTCATAGCACTTATTGCTTTCAAATCGAGAAAAACTAAAATACCCGAATTAAATCGAATCAAACCATAGCTATTTTTTGATTTGATTTTAGAAATTTAAAAATCGACTGTTTTAATTATAATTTTAACCACTAATCAGTAATCACTCCAAAACAAACCATGAAAACCTCTAAAATAATACTCAAATATACAAAAAATAAAATAAAATAATTTGTTGTTGCGTTCAGCATATGCCCTTTTACTAGGTTAAGTTAAATAAAATAATATTAAATATTTTCAAAAGTTATAATGAGATTATGGCCAGTAGAGATAAATATACAATTCAAATATAAATTTGA